CTGAAATGTAAAAATGCACATTTAAAATCTGTTTCCGGACTAGATTTTGGCTACTGAAGGTACCTGCAGCGTACAGTCTCCAGTAAATCCACTCTTGTGGTGTCCAGGGGGCACCTCATGCTCTGCACTGGCAGTGAGTTGCATTTTGGCAGTGTGATGCACAGCATCTGTTCAGGGTTTTTTCCTCATAAGGGAACGGCTGGGAATCACCATGGTCACACTCCAAGCACAGATCCGGGTGCATCCCAGCACAGCCTCTGGAAACACTAGGATTGAAGGAAACGAGGATCTCAGGAAGATCCTCCAGCAGTTGCAGCTTGCTGTCAGGTGGAAAGCATAAATGAATCAGACCACAGAAATAATTTTACTGTATTTCTAAGGGCAAAACTCTGGAAATAGTTAGTTGTAGAGAAATACAAAAATACAGAAGATGATAGAGTGGGTGCTGCAGAAAGAAAAACAGTGTAGCAAAATATCCATAATAATTCATATTAGGTTAACATCACAAATTATTATTTCATTCCATTATTTACCTATGGCTAAAAGGAGGCATGTTGGTAACAGAAGCCACAACACATCACATCTTCTTTTGATTGAGAAAACAATTTAAGACTTGGTTGAAAAGGGCAGGTTTTTCTCTTGGTGGCTGATGCCTCAAATAGATCTGTTACTGCAGGCTGCTTTTTGCACAGGGGAAGAGTTCATCATCTGCACAATTTTTCTTCAAGGCAGCAATGAAACTAGTAAGAAATATATGAAAATGTAAAAAGGGCACTAAGATCAAATGCTTTGAAATGTGAGAATTTATCACCATTTGCATCTGAAAATATTAATGTTAACTTAGGAGATACAACTGTCTACAAATTGATGAAGAAATGGAATGAATATTTTCACTTCCAATTAATTGTTCAGCTCATGCACAGCAATATACAGCAGTATATGTGATTGATAAGTCATCACCTAATTTCAGATTCTGTAACAAAATGTTTCCATTAACTTTCCTTATCGGTCAAGCAAATTTAAGGATTACGAACATCTCCTTTTTTTCTCCGAACTTTATTACATGAAATATTGCAGGATATGCCCAGAATACAGACAACCTCTTCATGTTACAGGACGATTTTCTAGTTGTATTTTTTCCACTTCTTTAAGGATGATGAAGGATACAGTAAAGAGACGCTCACTGACTAAAGATTACTTTTGTTTATTTTGCAATGTACAAAATGACTTTGATAATGCATCTAAAATTTAGATTGCATCTGCTCTGTGCTGATGTTTGGTATGATGAATTTACTGAAAGATAAGTTACAAGAAAATTTTGCTATATTTTTACCTAAAACCATGTCACAGCAAAGCAAAAAGAAATGTCTTTCACTGTCATGTCAGATGTCTTTGATGGTATCTTAACTTTGACTTGGTATCTTGTCTTTGACTGGTATACACATAAATACCTGACATCACATTCTAATGTGGATAGGCAGAGAAAAATGGACTTAAAATGTTAAGAATTCCTGAATGTTTATAAAAGGCTGGATGTTTGTATGACTGTTGGGTCAATACTAGGGGTTCACTATCAAAATGTTGCCTTGAGACATCCCTGTCCCTCATACCCAGCTTCATTGCTTAGAATTGCAACCAGCACCTGTTAAAAATCAGGTATTGGGAAGTACAGATTTTTGTCCCATGGTTAATTAGGTGCAAGTTTACATGGGCAACATCTTAGATCCAGATATACCTGTGTTCCTCTCTGACAGCAGCAGTTGTCAGGCTCGTAACTTAGAAGCACAGTTATTGTAGACCTGTGTGGTCAACGGCAAATTAGTCCACTTAGAATATGAACCTTTTTCTGCAAAGGTCTGTGGTCCTAAACTAAATTCAAAGTTAGGTGGGTCCTGATCTCTCCCTGAACCTTTCTTAGGACAGTCAGTTTACAGCGAACTTGGTTTAAATGTGTGTATGTCATTCTAGTTTGCGAAGGTCGGCAGCAGCACTGTTCATGCAAGGTGCAGGAGCGAACAAACATCATTCATGTCAGTCTTTGACCGTGGAGCAGATGATGTTCGCCAGAGGATCTGCATGGATAAGGTGTTGGCAACTGGTATTTAAAACCTAGTAGTAGTAAATCACAGTAGAAAGCAAGCTAATCTGGTATGTTACTGCAGCTAAGGAGTGCCATTTGCCCACCGTGCTACTGTTCTGACATTGTAGTAAGGCACTTCTGAGCCTCAAAGCAGTCCTGTTCCCTCAAACAGGCCCTCAGAGAATCAAGAGAACTTTCAGAAAATTATTTTATTCTGTAAATCTATACAATGAAAGTTTAAGTGTTGACACAGGTGTGGTGATTACATCCAGGTTTTAACAATGTTATACGAAGCCCCTGGAGAAACTACCTTGCCTCTCTCTGTGTCTGTGATCTCAGAGTTGTTTACATGCAATAAAACATAACGGTGGCTGTGCCTGAGGATCTGTGTCTCATTCTGGAAATCCACATTCAGACTAGTCTGGGCAATCTCAACTCGGTGGGGTGTGAAAACCTCCTCCTGGTACTGATGCTGCTCCACTGTGCAGCAAGACCTGTGGGATGTCAGCAGGACAGCCTGGATAACAAAGGGAGCACTGACTCTCAGCGCTTTCTTCCTTTCCCTGTTGTATTTTATATTACATTAGCATTGATACGTTGCCAGACTAAACAGAGAGGTGCCCAGCACATATAAGTATCTGCATTGTTAATGGCACACGGAACAGTCGGCTTTTTGTTGCGGTTCTGAATTTAAGGCACCTAAATCCTGCCAAACCCCAGGCTCCCAGCAAATGTCCTTCACAAAATTCTGCAGGCTGGAACTATATAGCCTCAAAATGCCATACATAAAAATATATCTCAGATACCCTATAACTATGCTGCAAGATCATCTATCAAGTTG